CATCAAGTTCACATCTTTTCTCTTAAAATCCTTATTCAGTAAATTTAAGCAATATGCAAATCTCATTTAAAACTTGAGATCAGGGGAGGAGAACACTTGCACCTACAGCCATACTCTGGTTAATTGTATTTGCTTTACCTTCGGCCTCGGCTTTAATTTAAGAAAATTAATAAATACAAAAAATAAATGCTAATGTTAGTTTATCATAATAAAATTTGCAAAACCTCTAAATACTTATATACTGTCTGGCCACATATTTTTTTTCCTTTTTAACATGATTAACAAAATTCAAGCAATAATTTTAATTCAAAAACCAAACACTTAAAGCTCAATCTTTTAGAATTCAAAATAAGTTAGGAAAAATAGTGCATACTTTTTTCTTTTTTTTTTTTCAAATAATTATTAGCCTTAAAGGATTAATTTCAAGATTCATAATCATCCAAAATTGATGAGGCAAAATATTTAAAAGAAAATTAAATTAATTTATAGCGAGATCTGTAAATTAATGAGATATGATGAAATGACTATGATAATAATATTGCATACTTTCAATAGTCATCCATGTGAATGAAATTAATCAGAGAAACAAAATGTTATTAGTGCAAAAATAAACTATTTAATCACTCTCATATCACGAAAAGGCCTTATTTAAAAATATTGACTGTATTAAATGTGTTGCAGTCATGAAGTTTTTAAAATATGTTTAATTTTAAATTTTTTTTTTTTTACAACTGTTTGAATTTTAAATTTGCTAAAGTTGCCACTGAATCTTATTTTTAACTGAAACTGAAAAAGTAAATAAAATCATGTCTTCAGCAAATTCTAACATATATTATAATTCCTGCTTTTTTTAAGTTTTAAGAAATTTACTTTCATTTTTTTTTTTAACTTCAGTGCAACAAATTCATTATCATATCTAAATCAATAACAGTATTATATATATATATATATATATATATATATATATATATATACACACACACACACACACAGACACACAGTGTGTACATGGTGTGTGTGAGAGAGAGCACATATATTAGATAATATTAACCTCCCTCTAATATCATAACTTTTTTCTTTGACTTTTTAGATTGTAGATTACAGATTTTAAGTAAACATGAACACTTATAATATCTGATAAAATGTGTGCTAGACATCTCCAGGCAGACAGGTATATTAATAAATGACAATTTTAAATTTTTTTTCATAAAAAATATTTGAAAACAAAATAATATCAGTTTCACTTATGCAAAAGATAAAAATTAAATTAATATCCATGACTATTTTCCAGCAAACACCCACCCACCCTTCCTTCCTTCTAAATATAAAAAAATTAGCAAGTTAATTTGAATGATATTTTTGAGAGATATTAACAAATCATAAGCAGACCAGTGAGAAACATTAACTGTTGAACAGAGGGAAAAATGAATGATGACAAAAAGTCTTTTCACAAGTCCATTCATTGGCAGAACCCAGTAAACCAAAGCAAATAGAATCTCAGACAGTTCTTAAGCAAACAGACATGATTACAAATAACACTTTCAATATTCCAACTTTTTACCGTATGTTGAGAAAACAGGATTCAAAATCATGTAAGCATTCATAGAAAATAATGTTAAATTATTGCAATGTTTTGTCTTTAATTTTTTTTTAAATATATATATATATATATATATATATATATATATATATATATATATATATATATATATATATATATTTTTATGAGTGGTTCAGTTGGAGTGAGTGGAAAGAAATGTTTATTAAAAAGTTCACTTACACTATTTTTTTTTTTTCTAAAATTAACCAAACCAGAATGTGGGCGATCATGGCCCTCTACAACTTCCCTCTCTAAGTAATTCTTACACTTTTACAAGCACTAGGAAAACATACATGATGGGCTCAAGTACATGGATGATAGAACAGGGTTTGGAAGAAATGACAAAATCTATTAAGAGCTATGAGGAACAGGAAGATATGGAGGGCCATGATCGCCTACATTCTGAAGGGACATGGCACATAAAAAAGAAGTACTTGTTGCCATCAATTTACTAAAACTGTTTCCTCGGATTCTCTTCCCCATTCTCGAAAGGTATATTAAGAATTATGCAGAAAAATTTTTCCTACAGTATTTCCGTACATAATTCAATTAAAAATACATCTTTTACTTCTGTGAGGAAAATTTTATTCAAACAATTTATACATCAGTTCCTTATGTCATCGCTTGAAAGTTCACAAATAATTAAAAGAAAAAAAATTTTCTGTAAAAGTAAATTCTAAAATTATTTACAAGCAATATTTTCATATTGGAATCTAAATGACAAAGTGGAAAATATATTGTAGAAAAGGTGTCATCTTCTAGAAAGACTTCAGACAAAAATAATGATTCTGTCGATGGAATTATATATGTGTAAGAGTGTTTCCTGCTGTAAACCAATGGTCACATTTTATATCTCCCTCTTATATTATATATATATATATATATATATATATATATATATATATATATATATATATATATATATATATACATACACACACACAAGTATAGGATTGGTGTATACGGAATAAATTCAATATTCAACAACTACTATTCTTAAATGAGTGATCAATACAGAGTAGAGCAAATATAATTATTTACAAATTATAACAAATATGTTATAAAATCACTACACAAATAATTATATATATATATATATATATATATATATATATATATATATATATATATATATATATATATATATATATATTTCTATCAACATAAACATTACTTTTATTTATGATATATAAATTTCTATGTATCAGAACAATGTACAACTTGTGCCTGGGTTCTTACAACATTTTAACTTTCTTGTCAGATTTTCTATTATCACAATATGGGATAATTAATAATGAAAGTGACAAAAACAAAGGAAGAAAACTAAATGAAATCAGCTAGACATGTCCAGATACAACTATAAAAAAAAAAAAAAAATTTCAGCAACATCTTCAGCATTTCCTGTTAGTACATAATTATAAATGATGCTTGCAATTTTTATAACCACCCTCCCCTTCATACACATATATAATTCTATCAACAAAAATATTACTTTAGTATGATGAAGTCCTTCTAGAGGACGAAACGTGTTACACATAATTTTTTTTTCATTTTATCATTCACTTGCCTAACATTGTTCTGATAGATAAACAAATCCAATGTTTCATTGTATGACAGGCTATAACGATAAAATTACAATGTGAATATCAATTGGAGCTGGTTTCTACAATGTTTATTGCTACTGGCTACCAAAGATGTTAGCAAAATCTCTCACACTAACAAATCTGCTTATTGGGTGGGAAAATAACTTGGGGAAAAAGAAGTACAAAGTTTTGACAAAAGAAACATAACACTGCCTTCTCTGCTCAAAAGTGTTTATGACTAATTTTCTAAAGCATGATTCTCAGGAAGCCATGCTGCAAAATTTTCATGAATGTTACTAAAATTGATAAACAAATGCAAAAAAAGATTTTTATCATTGGTTTTTCTGGAAATATGCCTATTGATGCCATCACTGTTTACTTTGGTTCTTGCTTTAAGCATTAAATCTATCTGAAAGTTAGCAAATAAATTTGTATTTGCATAACTTCTTTTATACATAACAAATTCTTAATTCTTTAATATATATATTAATATTAGTCTTAATGCTTTTTAAGGAAAACTATTCTGCTGTTCCATGCTTTCCATCAAGTATTCCCAGTACACACATTATACATATAATCATCTTCTCCCATATTGGAAACTATAACACAAAAATAGTACTTCAATCTGTAAAATATCTATGTACATGTACAAATAATATTTAGGCAAATATTGGATCAATACATACTTTAGTCAATACAAAATTATGAGAAGGTAATCTTTTAAAAAAAATCATTTCAAACTGAGCAAGGCAATGAAGCCACTATGATGCAAGGGTTTACTGAGAATGAAAAAGTCCACAAGCAAGAAGTGTAAGAGAAGAAACTTAACATTGAACTTATGGTTACATTCTAGCAAATTCAACTGTAAAATGATGCAACATAGCTGCCAATCTAGTACTGTGCTTAAATTTGTAGAGTTGAGGTACCAAAATGGAAAGCTCATCAGAACAATTACTATGAAAATATTTATAGGAATATTAAAATTTTCATGAACTCTAGAAAAATTTACATATTAATGTTGCTAATGTTTTATCAATTTTAAAAAGAAATTCACTTATTTTACTAACTTTTCACCCTTGACTTTGGAGCTGATACAGATGTGTCATAAGCATAATCTTTGGTTTCAATCTATCCCAGAAAAGCTGAATTGTTACAAAATAAATATATCGATCATGACCTGATCAATTCTGATCTCAACTTCAGTCACTTTCTCACCAACGTGACATGGCTTCACTCTTTTCTACTAATATTTTCATGGCAATTTTTCTGATGAGCTTTCATCTTTAGTGCCTCAACTACATAGATTTAAGCATGCTACTAGATTGGTGACTAGGTCTAACCATTTTATTGTTGAACAAACAAGATACAATCATCTGTTCTATTCTAATAGTTTCTTTTCTCAGACTTGTCAGCTGTGGAACTCACTCCAATTTCTTTCTTCCTTGCTAACTACAATCTTTAAAAATTTAAAGGCAATGTTAATTGCCATCTTCTGTCTCTCTGAATCCTGTTCTTTTATTGTCCTTTCTCTTCACTGAAGTCTTCTCACTCTCTTTCACTCCCAGTAACCCCTTGTGTCCTAGTGGCATTATTGCCTTGCTCGGGGTGAAATGATTAATTAATATATATATATATATATAAATAAAATAGAAATGAAAAATAATAATTAGATTTGTGTAACATTTATGGCATTAGTTTATCACTTATTTATATTAAAAAGCAAAGAAACAAAAAGCTGAATTTTCTCTGTAGATAGTTATTATTCATTTCTTTTCAATTTTAAAACCATTATCCATTACATAACCTACACATCCAAGCTTACAGTACCTGGTATTCCCAAGTGGCCACTCATCTAGGTACTGACCAGGCTTGACATTGCTTAACTTTGGTGATAGTATGAGAACTGGTGTTTCAATCTGATACAGACATAAGCCAAGTAAAAAGAAACTGTTAGCATAGTACATGGTTACATCTAGCAATTTCAACAGTAAAATTATGAGACCTAGCTGCCAATCTAGTACAGCACTTAAATTTTTAAAATCAATATACCAAAGAGAAAAGCTCATCAAAACAATTATCATGAAAATATTTCTAGAAAAGGAAGTTACATTATGATGGCGAGAAAGTGACTGATAACATTACAGATTCTTCTTTGGATTTTGTCAAGAATCTCTAAATACATAACAGAAGCACTAGACCAGATGTTGTAACAATATTCTTATGATGGATGAATTGTAGACTTATAAATGTGTAAGGGGGGAAAAATTGTCTACCTCGACACAGCGAACCAACTTTCCTAGCAGTATACCTAGCAATTGATTCAATATAATTGTGTGGAAAATGTTAGCCCAAGAAGGAGCAATGTCTTTCTCCTGGAGGTTAGCATCAGCCATGCTGAAGATCATTTTTAAGATCAGCCGCCAATTTGACCATATCAAACTTATCAGATTTACCATTAAGACAAGAATAAATAGTTGTGCCAGCATAAATACAGTCACTAATTAGAAAATATTAAAATCTACAGCCAATACAAAATCAGGATAGTATTTTAAAGCAACTCTGCTCTTCAGAGACATCTCTCCCAAAACAAGCCTTCCTCAGAGGAGAACATGACTAAGAATTGTACTGTAGTAGCCAGGAAAACAAAGACAAGGACAGTTTTCACTTGAATGTAACAATTACCCAAGCTGAGACTGATTTGTTAATAAAAAAAAAAAAAAATTTTTTTTAATAAACGGGTATCTGAATGGGATTTCTTTTACTTAGATTTTTTGAATGAAACTAGATTGTATAACTTTTGACATTCTTCTAACATGCAAACAACAACGATTAAATGTTGACAAATACTGAAATGTTAACACATATTTAATTAAAAGTGACAACAGTAGGGTTTAAATTATTGTCATAATCTTGAATTTAATAAGTAGTTGAAATAGATATGTGAGGAAACTTGCAGTCAGTGTTGTCACATTAATACAAATAAACAAAGGATTTTTTCCTTTATAATAGATACAAAGAAAAACAAGAAAAATAGTCTTTCTTTCCATTTGGTCTTATTTCAGTTTTTCATTCAGAAATAAAGTTAAATTTTCAACATTTTTATGTAGAAATACCTGATGAAATACTTTAATGATTTTTTTGATAGATTGTTATAGTGGAACACACCTATTCTATAGTTAATAGACTCTCCCACCTATAATAAGTATGAGTAGTAAGAGGAAGTTGCTCAGTGAGTTGGCGAGTCAGTCGATGTCGGACGACCGTTAGTCGGATACTAAGAGTATCAGCGACCACCACTAGATTTCTCTGCATCATTACGTATTATATCAAGTTCCTAACGTTATGTACATCGAACATATTTTAGGACTGACTTAGTACAAATACAAGCCTCCACTGTGAAACCACTCTATAACATAGATCAAATAAATAATTCCATTTCTAAAATTGTGGAGACATTTGACATTCACTAGTAACATGGGTACTGAGAATACTTGATGAAATGTATTACTACCTACATTGAACAGAAGAGTAGGTGACTACAGGTCCTTAATGATTGAGCAGAAGCATTTGGCTAGAAATATCTGTTGTAACTGACAAATAACACTAACTGAAATCACATTCATATTTAATACAGGAGGTACCAGAAGTATATCTAATATGTCAGTTCAGTGATCGTTAACTCCCATCATATATGGAAGCAGAAGCTCCACCAGAGTGGCCCTGTGTAACACTGTATCCTCACCCCAATGGATTCACACACTCCACCAGACCGGTTGTTGGTCCGGTATGGTCCAGTATTACAGGTTAGACACAAGTCTCCGGTTCCCAATGTCAATTCGAAGCCACCCTTCAGCCACATTGTGATTTTTTTGATCCTGGAGAGTGGTCGTGGCCTTCATTTTAACCCTTTTGGGTCTGTTCCTAGTGCAACTCCTACAACTTTCGATGTTCCCATTCTCAGTAGTCATAATAGTAGTATTAGTAGTAGCAGTACTTAGATGTTAGCAGCAGTATTTCGCTTCCTCACCCTCAGTAACACACAGCGGACACTTTCTTTTCAATCTTTGATGTCATTCCACTCAGTTCGACTGCATTCAAAGACAGACGAACCCAAAATCTCCTATCTTTTGGTTGGCTTGCCTCTTTATATAGAGAACTGGTGACGTATCTGTTTTTCTAGTGTGAACGTACTGATATACTTTCAAAGTACAATTTCACTCCTCTGAGAGTAAACAATTTACTTTTTCATCGTTTGGTTTCCAAGGTCCACAACAAGACTATTGTTTATCACCTTGCTATCAACTACTCTGCCACTTTTTGTAAACTACAGAGAGTCTTGTTTCAAAAATAAATTCTAAATCAAAAAATCCTTTATTTTAATTTCTATCCTTACAGTGTCAAAATCCATTTCTTTTTCTAAAAGTTCCAAATTATCATTGTTCCAGTAATTTTCTATTAGTAATCTGATATCCTTTGTACACTTACAAAAAGATTGTATTTTGTGTTCTAAATTAACTTTCTGTAACATTTACATTTCAAAGTCTTTACAGCATTTTGACATTTTTGTTATTTGAAAATGCCTCTCTTCACTTGGTGTTTTCTTTTTTGCAGCATATTCTCCATTATTATCATTATTATTTCAAGGGTGATATCACCCCTGTCACACTGTAAACACCACAATACCATAAAACATGACATTGCTAATTGAACCCTGGAAGACTAGCAACATATTGGTTTGAGGAATATTCTAGGGAATTCTGATGAATGAATGAGATCACCTTGTTTTCTCAATATGAACCCAATTAAGCTTTTATGGCAAATGGTAGAAAGGTCTATGTAAGATCTTGTACCTAAAAATATCAAGGAACTATGGTTAGCTATTGAGAGAGCATGGCTCAATATTGTTCCAGAAGTCTTCTGACAGAATACATAACAAAAACCCAACCTCTTATCCCAAAAGTGGACAAAATCCCACTCTCATAAGATCAATTAATAAGATTAGGTGTAAAGGTCATTTGCTTGTTATCCTATTATATTAACATAGACATGTATTTGTTATCAAGCATTTGTTTCAAGTAATCATTCCCAATTATGTATACATAAATGGAGTATAAATGTGGATATTCGACATGTAAGTGTGTATATTGGATATTATTATTATTATTATTTCAATTTGACATTAAAATTTGAATTAAAACCTCCTTGAATGTTTTATGTTAAATTTGTTTCTTTTTATATATGACACTTTAATTTATGAGACTGAAATTTTGTCCTGTTACCCTTCTGACCACATCTGAAATCAATACATCAAAATGATGCACTTCCTCAGGCTAGAGGGAGTTCCACATAACACAAAGCACCTGTCCCATGATTTTTCGCCATGTCTGTGTATAAAATAATAATGAAATTAAAAAAAATACACAATAAAATTGCTGTACAAAATTTAAACTTAATATAAGCATTTGTTTATAATAGTGATAACTCGGAAAATGGTTTTGAAAAATTTGTTAAATAGGTCAAATAAACCAATACTTTACCAATAGAGTTTGAGTATTAAAATACTCCCAAACTTTGCGATGAAGATAACATAGTAAAACCAGTGATATGCATTATTTTTTGCCCATTTTTCAGTTAAATGCTAAGTTTTCCCACAGAACTCATCACATTAGTCTTTTCCTATTAAAATCAGTCATATGTTTCAGACTTCTGAAACAAGTTGTTAATCAATGAATCTTTTGGCTATTCCCCCTGCTTATTGCTCCCCACCCCCAATACATTAACTACTTCATTCCTCATGGGGAAATGTATAGCCCAACAGTAGAAAAACAACATCCCACAATGCAACACAGCTGGCAGACAAAGACATATTTCACCTGAGAAAGAGCATAAGAATTACTTGGCTAAAATGTTATTGAAAAAAAATAAAAGAAGAAAAAAAAATAATTGAAGGATAATCAGACAAAATTTAAAATATATATTAAAAAATGTACAAATTAAAAAAAATAGTTTATCTTAAAAAGATTAAAAGACTATTATTAAAGAATTAATAATTTGTTATTTATAAAAGAAGTCATGCAAATAAAAATTTATACTTTGAGATAGATTTAATGCTTAAAGCAAGAACCAAAGTAAACAGTGATGGCATCAATAGGCATATTTCCAGAAAAACCAATGATAAAAATCTTTTTTTGCATTTGTTTATCAATTTTAGTAACATTCATGAAAATTTTGCAGCATGGCTTCCTGAGAATCATGCTTTAGAAAATTAGTCATAAACACTTTTGAGCAGAGAAGGCAGTGTTATGTTTCTTTTGTCAAAACTTTGTACTTCTTTTTCCCCAAGTTATTTTCCCACCCAATAAGCAGATTTGTTAGTGTGAGAGATTTTGCTAACATCTTTGGTAGCCAGTAGCAATAAACATTGTAGAAACCAGCTCCAATTAATATTCACATTGTAATTTTATCATTATAGCCTGTCATACAATGAAACATTGGATTTTTTCCCATTGTATTAACTATCCAACTACCACACACATGCTTATTCCTTTGTGAGAAACTTTCAATTTAAAGTGAGTCATTAGATTTAAAATATTTAGTGGCCAAATGCTCAATAAAAAAAATTATTTTATTAATTAAATAATTTTTATACAAAATGTTTGAGAATATACATCAAATAAAGTTTTTTTAAATTTTGTTAAAAACAATAGTGTCTTATTTATAAGGCTATCATTTTAACAGTCATTAAATTTATTTTTTAAAAGCTAAATTCAATGTTATTAATGAAAAATATATAACAGTTCATTTGATCACAGACAAATACTATAATAATCAAAATTATTAATAATCAAATATGAACTGACATTAAAAAAAATAACTGAAAATTCTGAAAAGAAATTAATTTCTTATATTAGCTTTAATGGTG